TGTGATAGTGTTATGACATGAAATTTTGCAACATGTCTACCCATCTAGCTTTTTCGGTAGATTATGACAATCAGCGTCATAAGGTGCTTGATAATATTACGTCATCTATTTAAAACCCATAGTCTCGATAATGTTTAACTACTACAATTAGAACGCACGAGTTATCTCCCTTGCACTGGTATTAAACGCATTTATCAAAATATGGTGATAAATGCGATTAAAGTAATCATTTCGTAAGATCTATGGCCGATGCAATGACTTTGTCAGCAAATACAATTTATTATTGAGTCAAACACAGACTGATGTTTTTTTTTTTTCAAACTAATGGCAAGTCCATTTTTATACACTGAATTGATGACGTATTTTTCGCTACTTTATGTCCTATGCTCGGCAGGCAGGGCCATTGAACAAGAAGGGATCTTTTTCGTGCCTGAACATACAATGACACGGGTCTGGAACTCTGTTTATACAGTCTCATCCGAAAGGACCGGTCTCCACGTCTTACAGTGGGATTCGAAACCGCGACGTCAGGATCAACTCCTTACTTCGCGACTTTAGAGCAGATGCCTAACGACTGCACCACGCGGGCGACGTTATGTAAAGAAGGTATCATATAAGTTTAAACTTTTTTTGTTGTTTCAGTAGTTCTTGAGAAGAAGGTTTTTAAAACATACCATATTTTTACTATTCATAATTTATCTCCCTTTGAGTGAAGACATTGCACTTCGTTGAAACAAACAGGAATTCCCTTCACTCATGAATGCTTTGTGGCATGTTTGGTTAAAATTGGACAAATGGTTCTGGAGAAGAAGTAGAACACTTGAAAATTTTACAGAGGAACAGACCTACTAAAACAATATGTGGTCAGAAAAGCTGAGACATGAGCTTTCGATCAGCTCAGGTAAACTAAAAAGCTATACTAAATATTTTGTTTGTTTTAAATAATGGTATAAAGTCAAAAAAGAATTTATTGATAGTATAAAAAATTATTTACAAATACCTCAAGAAGTAAGAAAAATCTTTAAATTGTCAGTTAAAATTGTATATAGCTTGTGTAAATAAAAAATTATCAACAATTCTTCATAAAATTTTAACAATATTTCAGTGCATTTCTCCTGAATAAACGGAACACGATACACATAGCTGTTTGCTTAAAAAGGCAACTTATTGGATAGTGTGTTATGTTTGATAATACCTTTTTGAGTACGAATGATAATGTCAACGTAGCTAATTAATGTTCTTGCTAAAAAAGGTTTTAAAGTCCAAACTTAAATTGGACATTCACTGATACACACACTCTGGTTACCGTATGTTCCTTCATGGAACCTTCTTAAGATTTCAGCTAAAACAATAATCTCTCATCTCATTAACTAAAGCAATTTCTTTTTCGATATTTTGTGAAAGAGTCTCACTGTACTTTATTTAACACACATTTCTACAAAGTTTGAAGCTTCGGAAATTGGATTAAAATTCAGACATCGTAAGCTTATCTGTAATTATATTATACATCATAGCATATAGGAGGGTTGTCCCGTAAAATCGTGGAGAAGTTGTCTAGCGTTCTGAAATTTTCACTAATATTCAGTACATATTTTAGTAAAATACATAGCAAATTTCAGGTAAATATATGCATAAATAAACAAATTATGTGATTTTATGCCATGTATTATATCACCTTACGGCGCATGGATTATAACGTCAAAGTGTCTAAAACAGCATCACGTTTTATCTTTGCTGGAAATTAAGTTGGATGAGTCCGACTTAAATATAGGTATTTCATTGATACACATTCTTAAGTGTCCATAAACAGTCGAAGAACCTATTGGCACTCTTATCGATCTTCTGAAAATTTATCAGTAAGTTACGGACAATATTCCCACCATCATTAAACTAATAGAAAATCTCATATCGGCGGTCTACTGTAACAGCGTCTTTTGCTGTTTCATTATGAGTTTGTCCGTATGTTTTGTACTCCCTAAGGACTCGATCAAAATAGACTTCGCTTTGAAAAGGATGTATTCGCTTTGACAAAAGAATTGACCTATAGGAGAGAACAATTTCCCGGAAAAAGTGACATTCAAAAATTAATCTTTATTTGTTATTTTCTATCGTATATATGTCTAAATTTTTCAAATTTGTATTTTATACCTAATATTTATTATTTAAAACTAGGGATGTCAACGAATAGTCGACTATTCGACTGTCAGTCGAATGGACTGACGATCGAATAATGAAACAACATTCGAATATTAAAAAAATGCAAGAAAAGGGGGTGAAAATGAAATTCTCATCTCAAGTTTGAAAAAGGATCCTTCGTCAAACTATACAGCTGTAAAGTGTACGTCCTCAGACGAATAAGAGCTCAAATACAGTCACGGTATATAAATAATTTTCCACATTGTACATAAAGAAAAACAGTAATTACATACAGTAATTTTTTCTCAATCACTGACTTTGTTTTGTTATTGTACGTGGTAAATTATGCAACGCTATATTGGACTGTGGAAATTATTTAATTGACTTGTACCAATTATATTTATAAACTCTAGAAATTTCAAATGCTTAGGAACACACGGTACTTGCATAGCCGTGAAGTTTTAAAGTTTGATTATTATTAAAACCTTAATAATCTTACATAAAAGAAACATTGATATAGCTTGGGCAATCATAAATTTAACAAACAGCATTTGACATTTTCATCAGATATGTTGATAGTGTGTGTTTACATTTCCCCATTTCCAATTTATTTTAATTAATAAGATTTCAAAAACACTGTGCTATATAAAAAAAATAATATTAAATGTTCCGAATAGTCGACTATCGTTCGAATAATGCAATCGAATGTTCGACTAAGGAAAATTAATATTTTGACATCCCTATTTAAAACTGTACAATAAACCTCCAAAGTTGGCCAAAACACCATTTTGTCCATTAAAGCGTTGATTTTGGCATGTATTTTGGCCTAGAAGTCTTTCAGGGCAGGCCTGTCCCTAAATAAAACTGTGATATTTTGATAGGTTAGGATGTAAAGAATAACTTAAGATATGACTTTTTTAGGGGCACCCCTGCCCTAGGGTCGAAATTCACAAAACCTACAAAAAATAAGGAAACCTGATTTTGATAATCCGTTAAAATTTATACCAAACAAATGTATAGTCAGACTAGCTCAGTTGATACATGTGCTAAGTTTTACATTGACGATACTTTTTTTTTTAAAGTCGAGGGTTCGAATCCACCTGGTACCACACTTTTAAAGTTTTAATTTTTCGCCTTTTCAAAGACTATTTCATTTTTTTATAGACCTGTGCATTTACTTTCAATTATCTATCCTTTATGCATGCCCATTCTTGATATGAGAAATTCTACAGAGATATCAGATCGTAACAATCCAATGTACAATTGTCAGTCAGGCGGAACAATATAAGCACACTTTCTCCGAGGACAAGAAAAGCTCACTTTGTGTTACTCGATACAGGTATTCTTGGCAGCATCGAGCTGCGATGAATTTCATTTGTATATATTCTTTAGAATTTTATCACATTGACTTTGTCTACATATATCGGCAACTGTTTCCTTGGATATTATTTAGGCCTATATAATTTGCACACATTAATTGCATGTTTTATTATATCCACGGATAATTAGCCTGAACATAAAGAATAAATTTCAGAGACAGAAGACATTACCATTAAGCACAATGAGAAGTAAAGAAAAATATCAATTATTATGTTTGGAGATAACAAACTCAGAAATCTATGAAAGGGTTCAGCTCCCAACTCTCCTCACTGATATAAAGATTTAGGAAAAACAAATTGTTATATGTATTCAGTCTAATGTCATTAATCAGAACGGAAATCGGCAAGCTTTTTGTAGAGAATAAAACCAAGCCCGGTCATATAGGTCAGATCCCTATTTATAATGAAGTGATCCTTTCATTTGTATACTTTAGATATGGTGATACACTGTATTTATATAATCTTTTTTTCTTCTATGGTCATTTCAAGTCTCTAAAGGTGTCATTACAACATCGAATTAAAACGGGACTGCTCTTCGGTGCGCCGTAACGTCATAAAACGTCGCCATTTTTTATATGTCGTGTTTACCACTTTCCCATTTCGAATGTTTGAGAAACTGCCAAAAATTAACCAAATGCCTTATTTTTTTTTAAAAGACTACAAAATTGATTGTGGAATTGAATTGGGAGAATGTTAATCCGAATCGTATGTATTTAAAAGTTTTATTTTGAATTCAAACTTGTGTATTCTTTAATAAAACCTTGGTTTTTTGGTCCGTGCGCAGAAGGACAATACCCTGTGCACATTTAAGCATTATAAAAAATTATTTTTGCCTAGACTTTATCAAAAATATTATCATGCACTGAATATGATAAATAAACTTTAACTGAAATTTTCAGCTTATTGCGCCCATTACTTTTCGAGAAAAACGCTTTGTCCACGATTTTACGGGACAACCCTCGTACAAAGATTTGGTGGTGAATCTAAGATGAATACTACATAGAGACGTATAGATGTATCAATATACAAATCAAATAAATTACAATTTATATGTCAATGAATTATATCTATTTTTCCAGACAAGGTAGAGTGTTTGCTTCGTGATCGGGAGGTCCGGGTTCGATTCTCGTTCCCGGTGCCGAGTTTAACATAAGACGTAAAAATAGGTAGTGACTGTTCCTTCGCAAAGCGCTTGGCATCAGAAGTGAAAATCACGGATCTTTCAGATATGACCTTAAAACGTCACGGTAGGCGCTGGCACGTTAAAGAACCTTCACTGCTCAAAGGCCCTGAGTGCCCAGTGTAGGTCTAAATTTGAAGCCCTTCACCTGCATACAGTGACGTCTCCATGAGTGAAAAATTCTCAAGTGGGACGTTAAACAATATACAATAAAACAATCAATCCATTTATGAAAAACCTGATTTTAATTATTAATGCATATATATAAACGTTTTTCTGATAAAAAAGAAAATACATTGTTTAGATACACGTCATCATTTTAAACTTTGTTTTCTTTCAAAAAGTTTATATAATGGAACTTCTTTGTCGCTGCAGTGAAGTCCTCATTATGGAAAGTCTTGGCCGCTGCAATGATGTCGTTTCCTTAAAGAAAATATTTTTTATGAGGATCTCTCTGTAGAATTCATAAATTTGATTTGAATTTGGCATGAACGTATGTAAAGTAGAGTTAAATATTTTAGCAGTCATCGTGTTTAAGAAGGATATGGAGATAACGAACAGTATTCAATCTCAACGTCCATTAAACAATATACAAAATAAGAGCAGAGCAAACACGGAACTCTGAAACATCAGAGGTGGGATCAGGTGCCATGGAGGAGTGAGCATCCCCTGCATCTCTTTCGATAAACATTTTGAGCCATTTAAGGACACACTAAAAATATGTTAATAACAATTATCAAAAACAGATTACTTTCTGTAAAGATATAATTAATTTAATTGATACATGATAATTTTAACCATTTAATGTGGGAAAATTGGGGGGAATTCAGAATGGTCTTTATTTTGTATACTTTCATTGGTGTTTTTAGTGCGCCATTAAAATAGTAAGCAAGTTGATACTGTAACAAATCAAAACAAAAATTAATGTTATATGTACGTGTACTAGAGAACAATTTCTATTATAATATATATGCCTACCTTCGAACCTAGAAGATTCTGAAAAATAATAAAGAATTTCAATTACAATATAATTTTTTGTTTTTTATTTTATTTTTTTTTTTTTTGGCAAAATGGGGAGTTGTACTTTAAAAAGGAGACTATTAATTATATGAGATTTTTTTTTCTTACTTCATATCATCAACTTTTTCCAATCGATTGATCCAATTCTTCATTCATTTTTTCGACCCATTTAATTTTTCTTCAAATTTTATATCTTCTATTTATAATTAAAGATACAGCTTTTTATTTTTAATGTTTAACAATATTATCATACTTTCATATCCTTTTTCAGTTCTTCAATCATATTCTCCATCTCTCTTTTTACTTCTTTCATTTCGTCTTTCAAGGATTCCAGCTGCTATTTATTTTCAATGAAAAATCAAATTGAAGTTTGGTAAAAAACGAATTCAAGTATTTTTGAATTTTACAAGAAAAAAAAAAAAAAAATTAAAAACGACTAAAAATAAATTGGATATAATTACACTTTTTTGCCAAGGATATACATGAAGCATATTGAAAACCTCTCAAGCATAACAAAGACGGTATTATTTTTGAATAACATGAAAGTACCGCTGTTTGAGAAGTTTTTTTGTTTAATATATTCAATATAATTTTAAAAGTTTTTCTTTTTACCTCTGGAAAATTATCAGTGTCAATCTCCAATTTTCTATATAAAAAAAGAATAAAAAATAAAAAAGCGAAAGATCACCCAGCCGAAATATTGCTGAAATAAATCATACTACGTAAACAATCCATCAACAAAGCAAAAACTCAATAAATAAAATTACTTTTCATAAGAAGAACAGAAAGCTAACATCTTCACTGTAAATTTAAAATACAATGAAAAGATATCCTTTAATTAAAAATGAAAAAAAAATGCAAGAACAAAAATCTTACACCAATTTTTTTCATTCAAAAATTATTTTAAATTAAGGATGGATTTTCTCATATTTCTTATAATTGCAGAATCTTGATTTCCTGAATACTCAATATTCAGACTGTGTACACTTATTTAACATCCAAACAAACCGGTGTAATCAGCCTTGATTTTCGGTCAAGGTCATTTGAAAGTCGGTCCTAAAAATAGTACTTTTACACAGAGAAATTTTGAAATTTACGCATAGGAATAAATTTTGCTGACAGAAAAAAATATCTTGCTCAATAAAATTAAAGTTGTAACTTATTTTTGATCACTAACTAACATGAATTGAGATGGTGGAAAAAAAAAACATGAAATCCTCAATTTTCAATTAAAACATTTAATCCGAATTTCCTCGATAATTTATTTCAAATTTCTCAGTTTTCATTAATTTACATGAAATTTCATCTCAATTTTTACAATTGATCATATAATGTCAAATATTTAGATTTTTGTCGGATGAATATTCAAATGTTGAAGATTAATTTACAAGGTAGAAAAGATATTGTATTCATGCTAATTATAGAACAAATTTAGCCCGAATTTACTATACAGTTTCTGAAATCTTCAATTTTACAGAGTGGTTTTAAAATCTACAAGAAAGATTTTAAACCCCCCAAAATATGGCAATTTGGTGTAATTGTGACACATATATACATTCAATTCTTCCAGTTATACATTTCATTTAATGACAGTTTGAACTAATAATATTTTAAATATTAATTTCGAATTTCCTCTGTCATTCTATTCTTAGGAATAAGTTATGTTTGACAATTTTATAAAATACATTCTGGATTTTTTTTCATATTCTATATATTCAGAAAATAATGAAATTATGCATGGAAATATTTAATGATATGCACAATAAAATGACAAGGAAAAAGTGTGGGGGCATCATCCTTGATTTTGCTTGAAGGTCATTTGAAAAGTTGATGCTAAAATTAGTTTTTTCCTCCTTTGGAATTAAGAAAATCCAATATTGTATTTTAAAATTGATGTTTTGGAAAAATGGAGATAATAAGATACGAAAAAACAATTTAAGTCTTAAGTTTTATGTTAAAGCAATGTACTAAAGTAAAAAAAAACCAAACTTTTGATCACAAATCACACAAAATATTTATTCCGAATTTCCTCTGTACTCTTTATTAAATGATATCTTAGTCTTTGACAATCATTCTTTTTCATTTAACTTTTTTAAATAAAATCATATATTCAGAAAAAATTATTTTTACAACCATTGGAAAAATAGATGTAGAATGAATCATTTAAAGCACAAAAATGAAGGGGTATTCATATTCATTAAATTGCCAGGTTAACTCGAATTTCCTCATTTTAAAAAGTATCATTGAACAAAGAAAACGCTGTCAATATATCATATAGGCTAATAATTTAAGAGACAGTACAGGCGGTTAGATAAATACATTTTCTCTGAAATGCGATATGATGTATTATTGAAGAAATAATTGTTGAAATTATTACCATGAAAAACCCAAAAAAGTTCAATCCGAATTTCCTCTGTTATAAAATATACTGGTTTCATTTTTTACAAAAAAGTAAAGGTTCTCGATCAAAATACATGTATATTTTTGCAGAGTTAGGCCAAAACTTTGTTATATTATGGAATCTTTATATGTATTGTACATGAACTAATATATGACATGCATTTATATACCAGAGAAGTATAATTATGTATATAAATATTTATGGGCGCCAACACAATTACAATAATTGTCACAGGCACAACATACTAGTATAAGAATCAGCAATTGTTCATACAATTTTATACAATACACTGTATCTAGATTTTGAGGCTATACATAAATCATACCAATATATAATTTACACAATAATACACAATAATTATGTATTACAATGATTTCTAAATATATGATATTTCTTAATAAATAAGTGTTATTTTCAGTATTTCTGGATATTGAATAACAATTGAAAGGTATACGAGACAAATTTGATACTTTTCCTTTCAAGAAAAAAATACATCAACTTCCTTTCAAAAGATATCTTATAATTATTGTATTTTTGGCAGCTGAATAGAAAATGAAATACATCTTAAATCTCTGCTGTGTTACAAATAATTTACAAAATCTTTCATTAGGGAGTGTATATATAGGCAAATCTATCGATCCCCTTTTCTGTGGCAAGGTTATGTCCACTAAGTCTCGATCAAGCTGTTAATGATTGGTCTCTCTATTCTTTTTTTCTTGGGGGGGGGGGGGAGGGGGGTTACATCAGTGTAATCTACAGCATCTGAAATCATCAAAAACAACAGTAACTTGATACAAGAGGCCCAGGGGCCACAGCGCTCACCTGAGCACATCGGGCTTGAATTTACCCCCCCCCCCTCCAGGCGTTCATCATTTGAACAAACTAGAATCTACACTACCTGAGGATGATTCCATATAAATATCACTAATCATAGCTCTGAAGTACTTGAAAAGAAGATTTAAGAAGGTTTCCCTATATATCCCTATGTAAAACTTGGGTCGGCCATTTTTGCCCCACCCTAGCCACAGGGGTCATGATTTGAACAAACTTCAATCTACACTACCTGAGGATGATTCCACATGAGTTTCAACTTTCCTGGCCCAGTGGATCTTCAGAAGGATTTTTAAAGATATTTCCTATATATTCCTATGTAAAACTTAGGTCGGCCATTTTGGCCCCACCCTTGCCCCGGGGGTCATGATTTGAACAAACTTGAATCTACACTACCTGAGGATGATTCCACATGAGTTTCATCTTTCCTGGCCCAGTGGTTCTGGAGAAGAAGAGTTTTAAAGATTTTTCTTTTATGTTCCTATGTAAAACTTGGGTCAGCCATTTTGGCCCTACCCTTGCCCCGGGGGTCATGATTTGAACAAACTTGAATCTACACTACCTGAGAATGATTCAACATGAGTTTCATCTTTCCTGTCCTAGTGGTTCTTAAGAAGAAGATTTTAAAAAAATTTTCCTGTATATTCCTATGTAAAACTATGGTTGGCCATTTTGGCCCCACCCTTGCCCCGGGGGTCATGATTTGAACAATTTAGAATCTACACTACCTGAGGATGATTCCAGTTGAGTTTCATCTTTCCTGGCCCAGTGGTTCTGGAGAAGAAGATTTTTTTAAAGATTTTTCCTATAAATTCCGATGTAAAACTTGGGTCGGCCATTTTGGCCCCACCCTTGCCCCTGGGGTCATGATTTGAACAAACTAGAATCTACACTACCTGAGGATGCTTCCACATGAGTTTCATCTTTCCTGGCCCAGTGGTTCTGGAGAAGAAGATTTTTAAAGATTTTTCCTATATATTCCTATGTAAACTTGGGTCGGCCATTTTGGCCCCACCCTAGCCAGGGGGGTCATGATTTGAACAAACTTCAATCTACACTACCTGAGGATGCTTCCACATGAGTTTAAACTTTCCTGGCCCAGTGGATCTTCAGAAGGATTTTTAAAGATATTTCCTATATATTCCTATGTAAAACTTGGGTCGGCCATTTTGGCCCCACCCTTGCCCCGGGGGTCATGATTTGAACAAACTTGAATCTACACTACCTGAGGATGATTTCACATGAGTTTCATCTTTTCTGGCCCAGTGGTTCTGGAGAAGAAGATTTTTAAAGATATTTCCTATATATTCCTATATAAAACTATGGTCGGCCATTTTGGCCCCACCCTTGCCCCGGGGGTCATGATTTGAACAAACTTGAATCTACACTACCTGAGGATGCTTCCACATGAGTTTCATCTTTCCTGGCCCATCGGTTCTGGAGAAGAAGATTTTTTTAAAATGCCATTAATTTTTAACAAATTTATGATTATCTCCCCTTGGAAAAAGGGAGTGGCACTTCATTTGAACAAACTTGAATCCCCTTCACTCAAGGATACTTTGTGCCAATTTTGGTTGAAATCAGCCCAGTGGTTCTTGAGAAGAAGATGAAAATGTGAAAAGTTTACGACAACAACGACAACAACAACGACAACGACAGACGACGGACAAATTTTGATCAGAAAAGCTCACTTGAGCCTTAAGCTCAGGTGAGCTAAAAATTGTAGTTTGGTGAATAATGAACCTTTTCTCTTTTGAATATTGATCTGATATTATTTGTTTAAATGCTTCTCAGAAATGATTTTTAATGACTATAAGGAAAAATCTTAACTTGCTGAAAATTGAGAAAATCTTTTTAGTTCATCACTCACTTGATGTGAGAATTTCTTGCTGAACATCTGTTCACCTGCTGAGAGTCATTTTTTTTGCCTACAATTAAAAAAAGTATTACGGTAAATGTATGTTACAAAGCAGTACAAATGCTGCATTACATGTTACAGTGTATCATACTTTCATGTTAGATACTAAAATCTGATTAGTTTAGATGCATCTAACAATCCTTATTGTTATACCTTTAAAAATTTGTTCCTATACAAATCAATATGAAAAAAAGTCCAACATTTCTAATGTTTTGCCGAGCGGGCATAAACAATTGATGTTTAACCACTGATGAGATGTTGGACCGGTTGATGAGATGTTGGACCGCTTACATGTACATCACACAATTGGTGGAGCTTACTCTAATTTGCATCTGTTAATGTTTAGCAGTGACGGATGTGAAGTTCAAGACAATACAAGATACATGTACATCAAAATAAATCACAAAAGGTATCACAAAACATTTATCGACTGTGTTCTCGAGCAAATACATTCTGTCGATCCTAAGGTAGACAGTTAATTTGGTTTTTGGCTCTGATAAAACGCATGTTGCCCTTGAACTCAGTCAATAATATTTGAAATTGACACCCCTTGTGTCAGTTGACAATGGTTTTCCGGGGTGTCAATTTCTACTGTAGCCCTCAAAAAACATGCAATATTTATATAATAGTTTGATACAGTTGTGTTCATATTTCTTATAATTATGTACCTCAATAGTCCATCTGCAAGCAGATTTGTTCAATCATCCTGCCTAAGTCTGGCCTTCAGTCTTTTTTCAACTACAGGTAGTCCACTCCTTGGTAAATTAAGAACTGTAGGGTTGTTTCCTCCTAAGAATTTAAAATGAACAGTTCTTAGACTATTGTTTTTAAATTAGCAAAAATTGGTTATAAGATTAAACAATCAATCTTATCTATATTTCATTTATTGATTTATTAAAAAAAAGGAATGAAGTTTTATAATAAATATATTTTATTTTATATACCACATTGTATAACAGTTTATAATGTCTTGTATTATATAATGTGTACTATAAAAAAATATAAACCTAAAAATACAGAAAAAAATACAATAATATAAATAATTTCTGAACCATTGTGTTTCATTTTGCTCCATAAATTAGACAACTGTTTGTTTCAATGTTATTGATATTTCCACATACAATATCCTTATTTTTTCACTTTGATGTGTACCCCAACGGAACACCTTACTTTTCTAGCAACTTGATGATTGTTGTGTCTTTAACAAATAAGGCTAGCTATAGTAATATAACTCGTTGTAATCATATACAAAAAATGCTATTTTTGTGAATAAATATTATTCTTAAAACTGACGAACAAACGGAAATGATTTTCAATCCTCAAATGTTGAACTGCCGATCGCGGGAACAAGCATACGAAATACATCGATCTATAATATCCTTGCGATTTCCCATTTATCAATAAAAACTATGTAATTCATTTTCGAAAATTATAAATTAAATTGTCAAACATACATAACTTACTTACATGTACAATCTCACTGCACAGTGACACGACATGACACCAGCCGATCGAGGAAACTCGCATGTTTGTGACCTTCAAGTTTCTTTTGGTTGATCGGGTGACTCGGGCATAAAGAAATGGGTGACATAAAATTGGTTAAATCATCCCTGGGCTTCTACAATGCTTCAATAATGATCACAGCTTGTAGATTTTACAAAACAATCCCGTCGGGGTTTTCTATGGGAAACGACCTGGACATGTTGACATTCGCTACGGAACTGCGCATATTATGGCATTTGTCGCAAATCAAAGAAAAAATTACGAACAGCTTATATTTTTTAATAGAAATAGATTCAAAAATACATAAACTGATAAATTAATCAATAATTTTTCATTCAGATTTATTTAATATGTAATTTGCATTTTACGACTTGCAAAATCTATGGAGACCCATTGACGACGTAAAATGCTGACAAGAATCCATCCTTAAATGATAAATACATTTTTTTGATTTCAAAGCAAAGATCATTTATATTAATTAATTTTGATGATAAACACGTGGCGTTACCATCTCTTATCAAAATTAATTGTGAAAATAAACGCGTGACATTACCCTTGCATTTCAAGGATCCCGTTCCTCTCCGCCTCAATAGTGTCTTTCTGGATGACGTCATATCTTTCATCGTATAGAAGCACTACATTGATAAATGGAAACAAACAATTGTTTTATTTATTTCCAGACATAGAAAAAAATTATACAATTGTCTAAATGATGTATCGACAAGTCATATACACAAGGAGGGCTTTCGAAAAACACCCCTAAACATATATTGTTTTTTCCCTAAATAGATGTAAAATTTAGTACACAGAATCTTTTTAATACGCAAGAGGCTTTTATTTCTTATGTATCTCTTGTAACGCTAACTTTAATTGATTGCGGGTATAAATTTCCGGGTAAATAAAACATGAAGTCACAATATATGGTTTTCTATGATTAAAAAAACAAATCACATGACGTCATGATGCACTGTCATACGTAGAAAAATATTATCGATATGTTGGGAAACAGTTGATTAGACTACGATCCCTTCAAAGAATTTTTATGATACATAGGCAATAAATTCGTTATCCAGGTCAAATCAAGGATGTACCAGGATTTACCCCGGGTTGTATTCCATACACCCTTCGGCCCTAGGGAGCATAAAAAATATCTCGGGAAAATCCCCGTATATCCTTAAATGATGTTTGGAAATAATTTATCAGATAATTACCTCTTTCATATGCTGATTGTCCCTTTTTGTTTGTCACACAATTCAGAATTGATGATATTACAAGATGGACAATAAAAGCGGCCGCTGAAAGAAGCTTGAAATGGATAGGGAAGATATTTCTGATGGTGTATTCCTCAAGGAAATTCGATTGTAGCTGTCACCAATGCATGCGAGAATTCTCATGCACCATTGCAGCGGTGTAACTAAAAAAAATAAATAATGTTTATACTTATTTGATAAAAAGTTTTGAATTTATCATTGACATGACACGTTGAAATAATTGATACATTGTAATGCTCAACGTATCCAGACTGAATATTAAAAAATTATATTTTTCAAAAGACTCAGATCTATTTTATTAAGCTAAGTAAGCGTTGCATATCGACAGCAAACATTGTGAGATATACTTGATGTGTTATCACTGATTTCGAGAATACTACATGTTAATATGATCTTATGACCAGCTGTGTATCTCGGATATATGCCTAAAATTGTTGATTTCGGGTTTAAGGAGGCTCCCCAGATAGCAAGCTTACGTTGGCCCAATGTTGGGCCAACGTCGTAAGTTACGTTGGTCCAATGTCGGAAAATGATGTTGGGCCAATGTAATTTTGCTCATCGGCGCAACGTTGCGCCGACATGTTGGCGCAACGTTGGCCCATTGTCATAGAACGATAATTCTGACGTTGGTCCAACGTTGGGCCACTGTTGTCAGTTATGTTGGCCCAATGTCGGAAAATTTATATTGGGCCAATGTAATTTTGCTCATCGGCGCAACGTTGCGCCGACATGTTGGCGCAACGTTGGCCCATTGTCATAGAACGATAATTCTGACGTTGGTCCAACGTTGGGCCACTGTTGTCACTTATGTTGGCCCAATGTAAGAAAATTTATATTGGGCCAATGTAATTTTGCTCATCGGGGCAACGTTGCACCAACATGTTGGCGTTACGTTGGCCCAATGTCATACAAAATTTACAATTCTGATGTTGGCCCAATGTTGTCCCTACATATTTTTGTACAAGGATATTAAGAAATCTATGGAATTCCATGGAAATATAAGAAATCCTAGGAATATACAATGAAAACTGAAATAATGATAACATTACAATTTATCATAGATCAAATCTATATTTCAAAATTAAAAATTCGTTTCTTTTACAATGTGTTTTGAAACAAATATATATTATTACATATAAACTTATAGATGTACAATGTAAGCACCTTTTTTCAAAGTATTCTCACTGATCGACATTCTTTGTAATAAAACAAACTATTTCTTTTTTTAAAATATGGCATTTGACTTAATGACATTGGGAGAGGTCATTGCAGTTACAAAGAACTTCCAGTTGCCCATGTACATTTACCGTACAAAGTTAATGAATAGACTTGAGTGACAAACACATGTATTAAGTACAAAATATCAACTACACAACTACATTAATAAAAAAGATCCCATAAAATCAACACATGCTATTTTCACCGAATATGCCAAAGATCCTAATTTAGTTAGATCCGAAATTTCTCAAGTACCTGCTTGAATCACTTCTTCACTGATATCCCATGAAATTCACAATAATAAACAAATAAAATATGGCGTTTTGTTACAGGGTAGCGAAATAAATGGTCATGTCAGTCACGGAAGGTTCAGAAAGTTCAATATTGATCATTTCCATAGTCACTTCAAACTTTGCAGGCGCAATTTCTGAAAGAAAAGATGACCATTAGGATGTATTATAATCAATATCTATCGCATATATATAAACAAAAATATATGACAAATAATAAAGTAAGGCTCTACAAGACTGTAAAGACAATTGGTTATTTGAACCTGACAGTTCAGTATAGTGTAGAATAGAAATTCACTATCTTGTATGTTTTTATTTAGGCAAAATTAGGCAAGGTGTCTGGGGGCCGCCTAGTGGGGCCCAGGGGGCGAAGCCCCCGGAAGCTCCTGGATTCTAGATATTTTGTAGGGTAAAAATGAGGTCTACCAATTAGACATATTTACATTTTCTAGACGAAACTGTGATTTACGCTAACTTTGACAATTTAAGGGGGGGGCGCCGGGGTGCGGCACTTCGCCCCCCTTAAATCCGCCACTGTTTAGATTACCTGTCAGAATCCATTGTTATGTATTTTAAGGATAAGGAAATTAAAAATGAAGAATATAAACCTCTTGTTATATGTATGGTTACTCGCTTGGCAACATATAATAATTCAAACAATTCTCTTGATATTAAATGACTTCGACTTCAAGCACGTTTTACTTCATTTTATTATCGGAACTCTCTAGTCTCAAAATTATACAACTCAAAAGTGCACGGTCAAATATCCGGATTGCTATGCAATGCCATGGTCAATACAACATCCCCCCACAAAAATAAAATTGTTCAATTTTATAAGAACCATGAGATTGACAAAGCAGTCCGGGTATAACATACATATACAATGACCATAATGTATATCCATATATCACAAAGCATATGTAAGTATATTATTGTAGATGATAAATGATACAGTCACACACACCAAAAGTACACAAGATTCATGATCCTACAAGCTGAATTCAAGACTATTCTAGTAAAGTGATAACTCAGTCAAAACTGATATGACATCAATGACATAAACAATACCTCTTTCAAGCATCAATCTATGCAAACACAAGTTATATGGTGTGAAACTCATACAACATTATTGAGCCTAAGTGACTATAGTAAACATTTACTGAATGTATATCATTATACAACTTACAAGTAATATTATGCCATTTCAGTGATAAATCCACAATAAAGCAGACCTCAAACAAAGTGGTCACATGTAAATGTATGCAAAAATATTATTGAAAATTTAAAAAAAAAAAATACATGACAATAGGTATCTCCTCTAAAAAAAAAATTACAATAAAAAAGAAATTAATATCATCATCAAATAATATGCAGCACATGTTATTAATTACTATGTTGACATCAGCTGACTAATTTCAGGTGAATTACCATGTCATACAATTCATTACATCCTCAAGATAAATGTAGTACATGTACAGTAATGCATCCATAGCAATTTCAAATACCAGTATATGAAAGAAACACAACTCAATTGTAGTATACAAAAATTACTTTAACATTGGGGGAGGTTTTTGTTTGATTAATTTTTGTGTCTTAGTGTTCAAAGCATCCCAAGGTAACCACATAGAATTCTGAGCTGGTTCCCCAGAGAAATGCACTAGGAACTCCTTGGAATTACCCGATCCTCTTTGTCCTAGCACTCGCTTAACCTTGTAAAGTGTTCCAGTGTCCGACATTGAACTAACTTCGACTGAAAGAGGATCTCGATGGTCAGAGTCTCTATAACGAAGAGGCTTCTTACACATGCGGCGAGGTCGCACTTGTTCGGGTAACACAGATACATTAGGTTCACGCTTCCCTGAACCATTTTTACGTGTAGAGTTCATGTCCAGGTTTCCTCCCTGAGAATTCTGGGGCAAAGGGTCATCACCTGGGGTATGTACCATGGGATTCTGGAGATCTGGTGTTTGGTTGGAATCCGGTTTGGTATGAGTGTCTGTCTGTGTCTGTTGATCAGTACAAGCAGGCGAGACTGTCGTGCGAGTTATAACCGGGCCAAGTAGATAGGGTTGTGGTGATGGTGCACGAACATAAGCCATCTTTAATCTGTTCACATGAATGGGTTCACTGAAAACTTTTCCAGTGTTCTGATCTACGAGTAATACACGAGAGTCTGAGCAAACTTGATGCACTATATGAGGTCCAGAGAACTTGGCTTGAAGCTTCTGTGCAGGGCCTACTGCAGGAATTGACAGGTAAACATAATCCCCTTTCACGAGGTGTAAAGGATGAGAGTTTTGGTTTGCTCTGGTAACCATAGTATCCTTATTAGCCTCAATGTTGTTCCGTACTTCTGTGCGGATTGTATGTAGTTTGTCAAGAAAAGCATCCATGTATTCCTGACTCCCCTTCGGTAAAGTATGAAGGTCAGAATTAAGGGTCACTGGTGATAGGGGAAACCGTGGTCTGTATCCAAGCACTATCTCAAATGGGGAATATCCTAGAGTAGAATTGATGCTCTGATTAATGGCAAACACAATGGATGAGAGCTTCTCGTCCCAGTTTCGTCTCTGTTTGTCCATATATGGTGTAAGTCGTTCCTCTAGTGTTCTGTGCATTCTTTCACATGCACCGAGACAGTGGTGTGCAAAACTAGGAGTAAACTGTTGAGATATGCCTAGCATTCTACAAACTTCTGTTGTTACCTGTGCGGTAAATTCAGTCCCTTGATCACTGAGTATGGTGTCGCATCCACCATATGTAGTAAAGAGCTGATACAAGGCAGACGACACAGTAATAGCGTCCTTAGCTGGGATGGGTACAGCAAACAAAAATTTGCTGAACATACAAGTAGCAGTAAATATGTATGTATTTCCCTTATAAGACACAGGTAGTGGTCCTTGTAGATCAATTTGCCACACATCAAAGGGTTTACCTGGAGTAGGAAAGGACACTATATTTGCCTTTGTCTTTGCTTGGGTCATTTTCCGACTTTGGCAAATATTGCAAGATTTCACAAAATCACTTATGATGGATGACATCTTGGAAAAATAATAATGTTCTTTGATGCGATCCAGGGTGTCATTAATGCCACCATGAGCTCCCATAGGTGACTCGTGGTACAACTCTAGAACTGTTTTGATAAGAGCCTGTGGAACGACAAGTTGATAGTTGTTAAGGCCCTTGGTACGCTTTGCTTTGGCTATACGCGAGTGAAATAAAACACCATCGGTCACTAGATAATCCGGGGCTTCTAGAATAATTTTTCGAGCAGCTTTCTGTGAAAATGGTAGTTTGTCTTGCTGCAAATAATCTAGAATAAGTCTCAAATCAGGATCTGATTTCTGTAACATGGCAATGCTGGACAGAGAAAGGTCTGTTTTGGTAAGTAGCTCGAGTGCACTATCCTGAACAGGTTTGTCTGGTATTCTGTCCGAGGTCTCATTCTCAATTACAGTATCAGCACTGTATCTGTCAGTCACACTATTGTCAAGTACAGTATCAGAGTTAACAAGGTCCTGGTATCCATGGTTACTATCACTTGTAGCATCGGTATTCCTTGATTCCTGAATCACAGTGTCAGAATTAACATCACTAGCACTAATTTTGTGAACATGAGTAGAAGTGTCAGTAGC